TGCCGTCGGGCTCCCCCGGGCGCGGGGCACGAGGGGCAGCCAGCGCTGGGTCCCTGGACGCACAAGGCAGCGGGTCGAGATCAGTGCGCCCGGCCTGCGAGCGAGCGCGAGCTCGGTAGGCCTCCCCGGTTCGCGCCGCCCTTTCCCTTGAGCCCTTTTAGAGTGGCCTGAGCTGAGCCGCGGGTTTGGCCGTCTGCCCTTCGCCGCAAGCCGTCCAGTGCGGAGCCCAGGTGAGCGGGAGGCTCCCTGGACAACAGGCCAGAGTCGAGGTGAGCCGTGTGCAGCCAGGAGCACACCGCGTGTTGTGGGCTGCCCACCTCCGCCCCACCGGGCTTATCTAGCCTGGAAGGTCTTTGCGGCCGGCGGCCTCCCGCCCCTTGCTCTGCTACGCTAAGCCTGCGTTGAACAGTCGCAGCACAAACTTCTGTAACTCCCACGGCATTTGATGGCGGCAGTTCTCACCCTTTTCAAACGCACATTTTGCAGGAGTGAGCCTTGGTTACCGTGAGCCATGTGTAGGCAAAGAAGAAGGTGAATCTCTCAGTACCCAAGTGCGTTTCAGTATGAGTGGCCAATCTCGAAGCTTTTTGCCATCTAAGGAATAGCACTCGTGTCGAGTGCGTTTTATGTGGTAAACTCTGTGCATTTCAGAACACAAATATTAGGAGAACAAAGTCTCTAAACTCAGGAAATCGGCATCAAAACTCGGCTCATCTCTTGTGACGGGCTCTGGTGTGACGGTCAGGAAACGGTTTCATTGCAGCGCTCTTTTTCTTTCAAAACTAGCTGTGCACCTAATTTGCCTGCACCATCCCTGGAATTACATGTGCAGATTGTATTTGCTCACACAACTGCATTTTGTTCTGGGTGGTTTTTATGAACAACTAATTTGTGCCTACAATCACACGTTCACTTTTGTACAGGCAGTTACATGCATCTACATCTCTTAAAGAACATGCACCTTTAGCCGCCCAGGACTTTGTACCATACAAGGGCAGTTGTTTAGTACTGAGCCGAAAGAAAAGCATGCCTGGGAGCAGCCTTCTCGTAATGCCCAGCTGCTCTTTCATACTTAAGCCCGGTGGGGATTCACAGACTACACCTTCCTCTGCCTTTCTGCCAGCAAGACCCACTCAGGAGAGCTGGGACATCTAACATGCAGTGGGTTGGCTCCCACAAGTTAGGTGCTCCCACACTCAGCATTGTGAGTCCCCTTTCTAGATCTAACTTTTGGGGTACCCCGGCTGGGAAAACAGACCCCAAGCCAGCAAGCCCACATGAAAAAGTATGTGAGCTCCAGCGTCCAAGGAAATGTTCCCCTAGGACTTATTCCACAGCACTTTAAAGGAACAGTTGTACGCTGTGCTTAATTGACATATGCCAAGGAACCATCTCTTCAATATTTAAAATACAGTTGATTAAATACTGCAGTTCTTCAGTAATGTCATCACTATTCATGAAATATGTTAATTGCATAATGCTGAACTAGACCTAACTGAATAGAAGAGCCTTTTATCATGGTCAAGGGAAATTAAACTACTCTTCAACCAGCTACACTTACTATACTCATCTTGCTTTTGTTGTGCCTCTTTTCTTTTACTTCCTCTCTGTGAATATACTCCCTGCTACTTTTCCCATCAGTTCTGCAGGTTGTTTAAGGTCCAGATCTGTAGGGAGAACATTTTTACTCTTAATGGATGCTTGGAGTATTTGAAATGTTCTGAAAGCAGTTCCCAAAGGACAGGTAGCCCCACTGTGCAGCTGGACTCTTCCTGTGTTTGTGTGTGCACATGCCCTGCAGTTCACTGATCAATCTTAGGAGGCAGATAGAGTCATGTGTTTATTTACTAACTACCAACAATTCTCTGCAACAAACTTTGGTGTAAAACAGAATCAAAATAATATTCCCATTCCATTCCAATATTAATTGGATGGATCAGAATTTATGTTTTGATATATTTTTTAATTTACTTATTGCTTTGTAATTTCTAATGTACGGGTTCTCACTGCAGTGGTGGGGCGGGGAATGTTAACTCCCAGAAACCTGCTTTGTTTAGCAGTAAGAAAATTTCTAAACTCATGCAACACCTTCCATCCATACAGAAAATGAAATAGCATTTTAAATTAATCACGTTACCAAAGTAAAATTGGTTTTGTCCCTAAGCAACCTAGTACATCATCCATAAACCAAGTGTAATTTACAATTCATCCGAGAAGTTTATGATGTGGTTACACTCCCTTCACTGAGCCTTTTACTCCTTAGGGAGTAAGGAGAGAATAAATATGTTGTCTTTCTGACCTGTTTGATTAGAGATTCATCTTTCAAGCTGAGGTACCCAGCAAATTTGTAGAGGGTATATAAGAGGAAGAAATGGAGAGGCAGAAGGATGGAAAGGGGAACTATAAAAGGAGGGAAGGGTACTAAAAACTACTCCACGATATCCTGAGGTTGTTGGAAAGATTGCAGTGTGATGATAGTGACATACAGTGGCATTTTTATTATCTATAACACAATCACTGGGGCACATGGCAGTGTGACCAACTTAAAGAGGGGCATGTGACTTCAGACTGAATTAAGACAAATGTTACTGTAGGTGCAGATGCCCACCTCAGAGATCATGGAGAACCAGGGAAATCTAATGAAACTCTTTCTCCTCCTACCCCAGCACTGGCAGTACTCCCAAAGGGAGTGTCATGATACATTTTTCTCTTTCCTTGAATCAATGTTCTGATTTCAGACCACAGGTTGGGGCGCTCAGTGTCTTAGTACACTGTCATTCTGCACAGGAATAGAAATCCAGATCAGAGCAGATCATGCTACAGGCAGTTCCTTTGTTTCTGTCTCATTTTGGAATTGGAAAAGATGCTAGTGCACAATCCCATTTTTCCCTTTAGTCCATGCAGCAGCATTCCCACATTTTCTTTGCTGCATAGGGGCCAACAAAGCATGATGGTTAAAATGTTCAAAGGATGAAAGTCTGGTTGGACTTTCAGCCACACTTGGGGCATGTCTGCAAGAGAGGTTTGCTGCAGAGCTGCCTAATTAGCCTGGCAGTAAAGTCTTATAGTGTCTACATGTTCAGCCCTATAGGCCACAGTAAACTAATTAGCTCCCCTGTAGGTTAGTACTTGTAAATACAATTTCCTGCTGCGGTGTTCTTTACTGCACAGCAACACATGTGTAGACACTGACAGAGCTGGCTGGGACATGAGGGCACTTCAGTGTGGGGCTGCCTGCCAGCTAGCCCCACGCTGCAGCAGTCTCTTGCCCAGCCAGCTCCTCCGCAGCATGTTGTGCTGGGTTGGAGCAGTCCTGGGCTGACAGGCTGACCCTCTGGGCCCCTGCCAACTGAGACTGCTCCGACCCAGCTCAACATGCTGCAGTCCCAGGCACATGTGTAAATGTGGTGCCTGGGAGCAATACATTCTGGCACGATGTGTGCCCGAGTTTATTGTGTCACAATTGCATGGATAGATGCACCCCTGAATTCCTCAGTTACTTTGGAAAAAGGGACTCTGGATGCTTTCAAAATTTTACTGAGGGTCTTGGCATAGAAATCTTCCATCTCTAGTGTCAGTTCTCTGTCTCATTCAGGGGTAGGCAACCCCTGGCATGGCTACCAAAAGGTGGCACATGAAGGCATTTTGCTTGGCACATGTGCCTCCGGGCAGATGGTGGGGAAGAGGCCACGGCTGCGCTGCCACAACAGGGCTCGGGCCCCTCGTGGCTCCCCCCCATCTGCCCCTGGCACACCAACGTCTTACAAGTCGAGGTTGCAGGTGTTCTTGGCACTCTGGCCAAAAACGCTGCAGACCCCTGGTCTAGTTTATACTCGCCTATGCCCCTCCACACGCTTAGAAGTCTAGTCGTGCTTCTGAAATACAGAGGGTTAATCTACAAACTACAAAATACAGTAGTAGAAAAAGTGGAGACAACAGTCACAGAGAAATGCCTCCCAAGAAACTAACCATCCTTCCAGTGTGTGTGTGTGTGATGCCAGGGCATTGTGTTTGAACCCAGCTCCACCTTTATTAGCTGCTACGTATTTACTGAATCAGTCTCAAAACACTCACATGGCATGAATCTCAGAGCCTTCCTGACGTATGTGAGGCTTATTTAACCCGTTTTTCAGATGGGAATACAACCTGGGAGAGAAATGGCTAAAAGCAGGATCATGAACCTACCCAATTTTGCACTGATAATCCCCGAATTTATCTGCAGTACTGTGCTGGATCCCATATTCCTCCACAGGGCTCCACCCTGGTTTCATCCCCTCCTGTTTTCCTCTGATTTTCTATCATGCCTTGTCCCTCTCATCTCTCGCTCCTGTTCTAAGGTGTTGTTCCTATTAAGCTCAAACAGGACAATCCCTAACCTTGGCAAGACTCCTACACTGTAAAAACATATGTGCATTTAACCCAGGGCCATGTCAGGCCTTCCCTGTATGATTGTTCTCCAGTCCATTTATTGTCCTATTCCTCAGTCAGTCAGAGAGGAAGAAAAAAAAATGTTTGCACGGAAGTTAAATTCTGACATCTCAGTGCCTGTAGCAAAACCCACTTCGGCCACCCTCTCTGTCCATCTGACAAGCCAAGCAATGGCACAGCTTCTTAACTCTCCCCAACACAAAGGGGATGTAGTTAATCCCTTACAACAGCATTCAGAATGGTCTTGTTTGGAGGGAAAGGTCTATGGAGCATTAATGAAGACCCCCACGTACCTAATGACTCCCTTGGCTTTTAGAGGCTACTCTGAATCCTGTTCCAGAGCCCCTTGTGACAGCTGCGTTGTCACCATTTGGAAACGTTGACTCCAGCAGTGATCTGGGGGAGAGCCCGGGGAGAATTGTAGCTGCATTCCTAACAAGAGGCTTTTACTCTATTCAGTTGTGTGTGCAGGGACCTGAGTTGTACTTTGGAGAGCAAAAGGCAAGGTCTGCTGTAACTTATCTTTCAGGGAAGTTTTCCAAGTCCAAAGAAATTCCTTGCCATTTCCTTTGGTGAGAGAGAGGGAATAAAAATCTCAGCCAGTTTCCTTCACTCCATTAATGTGCTGTAGAAGTTTGCACTGTAGTTGGGTATAAACTATACCGCACATTGATTAACAGAGGTTCTTAACACTGTCTGAATCCATTAAATATCCTGTGGTGTCTCGTCCCTCTGAAACAGTCCATCCTGAGAGAACTGAGCCTAAGTCCGTAGGACCGTCTCCTGCTTCAGGGGAAGTCACACAGTTGTTCTCTGGTGCCTCCTGTAGCTCGCCTTCACCTCACCACGTACAGGATCCCAGTAACTCTCAAAAGGTAACCTGTGTGGTCGTCTCATGATGAGTAAGGAGTAGACAGATGCTCCCAAAGGGACAGGAGCATTTCCTGAGCATTTCGGAAAACATGGCTGCTTCCTTTAGGTTCTGAAATGGGAGCAGGACTGTTCTGAAAGCTTGCCCCTGAACTCCATGCAAAGTGTACCGGGAATTCAACTCAGTCATACAGTCATAGAAGATGAGGGTTGGAAGGGACCTCAGGAGGTCATCTAGTCCAACCCCCTGCTCAAAGCAGGAACACCCCCAGCTAGATCATCCTAGCCAGGGCTTTGTCTAGCCAAGGATGGAGAGTCCACAACCTCTGGGTAACCTGTTCCAGTGCTTTATTACCCTTCTCATGAGAGCGTTTTTCCTAATATCTAACCTAAGCTTCCCTTGCTGCAACCTGAGGCCATTGCTCCTTGTTCTGTCATCAATCTTCCTTTCTCCAGACTAAATAAGCCCAGTTCCCTTGGCCTTGCCTTATAAGTAACGTGCCCCAGTCCCCTAACCACTTTTATTGCCCTCTGCTGGACTCTCTCCAATGTGTCCACATCCTTTCTGTAGTGGGGGGCCCAACACTGGACACAGGGCTCCAGATGTGGCCTCCCCAGTGCCAAATGGAGGGGAATAAGCTCTTCCCTACATCTGCTGGCAGCACTCCTACTAATGCAGCCCAGTACGCTGTTAGCCTTCTTCACAAGGGCACACTGTTGGCTCAGAACAGTCTCCTTGCCCCATTCTTAGATAAATGATTGCATTCAGCCATTCTCGACATGCCCAGTAATTTTAAACAGGCTGCTTCTTGTCTAAACCATTTGACCAGCACACAGCAGCATCAGACAAGTGCTCTGGATGTGGTTGTGGTTTCTCTTAAAGCACACAGAGGCAAAAGGTATTACCTGAATGCAGGGTCCTCTCTGTACTGTTTGTGCAGAGCCACTGAAGCTAAGTAGTCGAGGTGCCATGGGATATTTAGAGCTTCTGAAAACCAGTTCTTTAATGTAACAAGGAGTTTCCTATTGGCCACTGCCTGAACTGCTAACAGACTCGGGCTTGTGTGCACATGTGATGAACTCTGAGCTACCTTGCTCTGAAAGGAAGTGGCTATATTTCTCATGGACGTTATGCCCTAAATACAGAACCAAAGCAAGGAAGTGGCCCAGATGGGGGACATTAAAGAGCTGCTGTCCTATCAGACCTACCCTTGTACATTGAAAGGAGTGTTGAGCAGGGGGTTAGTACTGTGGAGGTGGAGGGAGGAATGAGTGTGCTGCGCTCTGCTTCTCTTTAATACTGACTATAACATTTTCAGAATGATGTGTCTTGTAACTGATAGAGCAGGAGAGATGGTTGGTGTAATGAATGCAGCTGTTGAGCTGTGTGGGCTTGTTTATTTTGAGGTTTTTGGTCTCCATCCACAGAGAGGTGCATCACAGGGGAAGATGAGGACTCAGAACATGAGTGAACGTGCACTTCACCTCCCCAGGATGCTGCCTGAATGCTGGCCACAGCAGCTTTGGTCTCTGCAGGGACCTGTTGGCCATTCCAGCAGTGTCCCTGATTTGAATGGACTTTATTCCAAATTCCTAAAGAAAGACAGTGCCCATGAGCCATCTTGGCCCAAAGGCCAAGGACTGAGTGAACCCACAGGCTGTGCTGACTTTCCACCACATTGGTCACTACACTAGCAAGGTTTTCAGTCTAATAATAGCAGGGAGTTCAGCCACGCTCGCATCATCATCCACAAGGGTGAGTATAGAACAAATGATAAAAATGCTTGCAGTAGCAGCCTCCTTGCTCCAGTTGTTAGTAACAGGCTAAAAATCATTAGAGGTGCACCCGTGAACGTGACACCTTCCAGAGCAGGGAAGAGGGACGGGACAGGAAGGATGCTTTGGGAACGGTCTGAGCTGCCTGGCCAAAGCATTTTAGTTTTGATGCCTGTCAGTCAAATAGATTTCAAAAGCACAGTCGTCTTTTAAAGAGCATTGCAAAACATTAGTCTAAGTTCACCACGTGCTTTGTTGCAGTCATACATATGTCAGTTTGGTTTTACCCATATAGTGATCCCAGTAGGAATAAGTGATACTGCTACACAACACCACGTTTACGTCCAGTATACAACTGAATCCACAAGGGAAAGGCAAGGGGGGCAGGGGTTGAATCATTTAAATTACACAACTTCAACTATGCCAATTTGTGACAGGGCACATGAGAGGCTCAATATTTCCTTCCTTTTCTTTTGAAGAAAACTATGGAAAGTCATGGTTAGGTATTGCTACTACTGAAACTTATCTGGAGAACTACTTACCTCTGTTTAAATGTGTTGATCAGTTAGGAACCTATTCTTGATGCAGCTATATTTGCCGAACACAGCTTTATAACTGTATTTTCCCTCCGTGCTTCAGTGTAGGCCAAGATGGTGGATCATCTGGCAAACACGGAGATTAACAGCCAGCGCATCGCTACTGTGGAAAACTGCTTTGGGGCATCGGGACAGCCCTTAGCTGTGCCAGGAAGGGTCCTTCTCGGGGAGGGAATTTTGACCAAGGAATGCCGGAAGAAGCCCAAGCCTCGAATATTCTTCCTTTTCAATGACATCCTTGTGTACGGAAGCATAGTGATCAACAAAAGGAAGTACAACTCCCAGCACATCATACCCCTCGAAGACGTCACCTTGGAGACACTGCCAGATACCTTACAAATGAAGAACCGATGGATGATTAAGACTTCAAAGAAGTCCTTTGTGGTTTCTGCTGCCTCCCTCACAGAAAGGAAGGAATGGATCAGTCACCTGGAGGAGTGCATCCGGCACCTGCTGACAAAGACGGGGCGGCAGCCCTCTACTGAGCATGCTGCCCCCTGGATCCCCGACAAAGCGACCGATATTTGCATGCGCTGCACACAGACCAAATTCTCTACCCTCACTCGCCGGCACCACTGCCGGAAATGCGGGTTTGTCGTGTGCGGGGATTGCTCCAAGCAGAAGTTCCTGATGCCGCGGCTCTCCCCCAAGCCCCTGCGGGTCTGCAGTCTGTGCTACAGGCAGCTGATGGCAGAAGAGAAGCAGGAAGGAGGTGACCAGAGGCAGCCAGAGCAAATCCACTCTGCCAAGCCAAGGTACGAAGCTTCCAGCGGTGAAGACAGTGACAAATCTGACGACGACAAAGTGGACCAGTGGCCAGCAGACGCAGAGTTTTATACCTCAGTAGTATCTTGGTCGTCATTCCATAATTAACTGTTTCACTGTCGGTTTTTAGCCTCCGGTGCACGTACAGAGCTCTCAGTATTTTAGCAGGGAGCATGCATGGGAGAGTGAAGTTTTGGCCCCTATTTATGCTATTTTCTTTTTTCAGACAATTAAAAGACCTAATATTGTGCCTGTTACAGTAGCAGGGCAGACAGCAACGAGGCAGCATTGCCTAGAGTACGGCGCACTGGCCTGGGGTGTGAGAGACCAAGGTTTATTCCTTGCTCTGTCACTGGTCTACCAATGGACCCTGGGCAAGTCACTTTACCTTCCTGTGCCTTGGTTTTCCTCTGTATAAAGTCTATGTATATTGACCTCTTACATGCTTTGAGATCTGTTATTAGCAAGAGATACAAGAGCCAAGCAGTATTATGGTCTCAAATACACTATTCCCTTGGATGGGCCCTGTTGTGGTGGTTAGGGAGGCCAGCACTGTCACTGCCAGCACCTTGTCTGTGGAGAATGGAGAACTTCAGTTTCCAGGGCTGGCATTTTTCATGATCACTAAACCCACATAAATCAATATATAACATACATATATAGTGTATGCCACGTATGGAGTCCTGGCTTGGTGGCCTTCAGTTAGTCTGGTGCAATACCAGTAAGAAGCCTGGGTTTGACTTTCACACATGGCCTTTAACTTCAGGAAAGGGGGGGTTTCTGTGGCCCTGACATAGATCCTGCTGACTTAATGCAAGCTACATTAGCACAGCATTGAGGAACTCAGCTCTCCCACCCCAGAGAGCAATAATTATGGGTAATGAGAGAGTAAAGGCTTATGTAATGGAGTGAGGTAAGAAAGAGGCTTCAGTAAGACACTGGCTCAACTCAGCAGGATCACCCCACCCATGCAGATCCCCTCTCTCCAGAGCTAATGACTCAACCAGATATCAACATTAGTGGCATGAGGCTTGAAGAGCTCCAGCCAGCTGGGTGATATTGTAGCATAGGATTGCTGTGCTGAAAGGAAGTGGGATGGGTGTGTGACCAGGACAATATGGTCCTGTGAGGTTCTCCCACTGACCGTCAGAGTAAGGCCCCAGTCCCGCAGACAGACATTAAAGTGCTTAATTTCAATCCCAAGCATTTCCATTCACTTCAGAGTTAAGCATCCTTGAGTGTTTGAACAGTAGGAGCTGAAGGTTATATGTTCAACTAGATGTGAATATTGATATTCAAAATGTCATCTCAAGTGAGAAGCTGCTTATTCTAGCATCCTATCATAGTATCACGTGCAAGTAAAACACACTGAAAATTGGACAACCACAGTTGTATTGCAGCAAGTAATTATAGAGCCAAAGATCAGTTACTGCCTTTTTGGCAGATCGTGTGTACTTTATATTCTGACTCTGGAGACAGAGTGTAAGTTGAGCATTACTTTTAACATCATAATCAGTTTTCCTTAATGTAATCCAGTCTAAATACTGCATTGCACACCAAATGATCAGGTTGGTTTGGGGGTGTTTTTTTTTAATTAGTAATTTGTCTCATTTTTATATTTTCCTTCTTTGTAAACTGCCAACATCCAGCCAGTTTGTACTATTGAACTGAGTGAATAAAGAAATGGCCAATAAGAAAAAACATGCAGAAGTGATCAAAAGTGTGCTGTTTTAAACCAAAACAAAATATCTCACACAAATAGGGTGCTTAGATGCTTTCATGTCCAGTCTAGCACAAGTTCAGCAACAGGTCTTCAAGTGCTTGTTATTCTGGCTTTTTATTTACTACCCAAAAGTGAATATTAGTACAAAAAAAAGCCAAGTCTGCTGCTTCCCTTCTGTTTATTCCATTCTTTTGTCTGACTAAGTTTTCCCAAGTCTTTTGCAATCCGTTGCAGCCGTCTATGCTAATTGAAATGGTATTTTCCGGTGGGGACACAGTGGAGAATGGGCCAAGAAGCCTCATGACCAAAAACAGATGTTTCTGGTTTTTCATGTAATAAAAGAACTTCGAGTCCTGTTTTTTTTCCATCCCTCGAGTTCCTGGTCATAATTATAAACAGCAATGATTGTATTTCTGATGCCTCCCACCCACAAGGAGGGTGTATGGGCTACACAAACAAAGTACAACTGTAAAAATAAGCAGTCCTTAAAATGAATCTCCCGAAGCCAAGAAGAGTGCAGTCATTAAATCAAACGTCTGTAATGTAGGTATAATTTGTCACTCACAGGTTTTTCCTAATTATTGCCTCAGAGATGAATTCTGGTTTTAATTGATTTTTTTTGCCCCTGGGAGATAAGTTTTCCTCCCATGTATGCAGATATGATGCAGTTAACAGGACTTCATCTATGAATGGATTTTACACCCTTTGGTGTGAAGGTTGGTCCCACTTAAACATCTTAGATTCAATTTCTAAATTGACAGTGAAGCCAGAACTGTCTATGATATACATGCTGCAGTTCCTGCCCTTCCCTGGTATGCTGAAATGACCCAACTGTCTTGCCTTCCTGGTTCTTCCTTGCAAGCAGTAGATGAGAATAAAAATCAGGCAACAGAAAGCCCGTTACAAAACTCAAGGAAATGGCTGAATATGTAGAGTCCCAGTCACAAAGACACAGCATCCTGGGATCGAAGAGTTATTTTTTAGCATTACATCTCTGTAGAGCTTTGACAGATACCAAGGCCTTATCTACACTATGTTTTTCTTCTTCAAAATCTCCACTGCTATTGCCAGTGGCTTCTCACCTTTCTTGGGCATGCATTAGTCTTGTCAAGAAAATTCAAGGTGTAAATGCAGCAGCAGTCTGGAGGAGCCATTAGGCTGTCCCCGGAGAACGAACGCTAATGGAGCTAGAGCAATGGCAGAAGCAAGGAGATAATTTTCAACACAAAATTAAGTCACATTGGCAACCAGATGCGTAGCAGCTTTTGCACCTTGGGCAGCAGCAACATCAGCAGCCAATCTTGGCCCCAGAGCTAAAGAGGAGGAAATTTAACAAGAATTTTCTGTTAATTTTCTGACTGTCTAATTGGGATGTGGCCAAAAATCTGAGGCCTCCATGTTTGAAACTAGGGTTAGACCCTGGGGATGCTAGGCTTCCAGACTAAGTATCAGCCTCAGCTTCACGGCAAGGTTTGTCACCTGCACTTTTATCACTGCCACATTGGTTTTTGTTTTGCCTAATGTTGTCTCCATTTGAGTTAAAAGGAGTTTCCTGTCCTTGAGCTAAATAAAACCTGTTACCCAGTACTGATGGCATAGTATCTAAAGAGGGGACAGTAATAATGTGCAGGGTTTGCATGCATCCACTGATTAATATTTAGAGAGAAAATGCAGACTGGCAGTTTTATAGAGATTAGGGCCTCTTCCTGCAGAGCCCCTAGTGGTGGTGTGCGGTAATGCCACCTGCTTGTCCACTTGCATGAAACAGATACTTGAAGAGTTGCAGGGTCAGAGCCAACAGACCAACAAGGGACAGAGCTGCTGTTAGGATGTCAAGCAGGGCCAGGCAGCAAACAGGGGGAAGAAAATCCAGACACTCAGAAGTTCATGCCTGTTTCAATCAACAGTTGAGCAAGAAGTACAGCAAGGTGGATGACAAGCACAGTAGAGATACAGAAACTGAATGACTAGTTGGTATCCAAGGATTAATAGACAATTGCAAGATGCTTTTGGCCCTCGTTTGAAGTGTCGCATTGTTAGTAGTGCCAAGGCATCAGAATAAGCCACATCTTGGGTGGGCATGGACAGCTCTCCCTTATTCTACAGCAGGATGAGGGCTGTCTCCTCATTTTAGTGGGGAGAAACCCTCAGTGAATTCAGCAATGCAGTGAGACTTAAGCCCTTTGACGTCTGCCTCACTGAAACTGCTGGAGGCTTTCCAAGCAAAATGGCAGGAAAACTGAGCTAAAGTTCATAGAATGATGAAACCCACAGCTTCAGCTCTCCAAGGTCAACAGGAAAATAATGAAGTGGACAAAGCAGCTACTGTAGCCTGTCAGAAGCAACAGAATAAAAAGTAACAGGGAAAAATCTGATTTGTGAATCAAGTGAAAGGAAGAGGTCTAAGAGCTTCAGTGAACCAAAAGCACAGCAGGCTTTGCCAGGACACACTGTACTGCAGCAATCACACTGCTGACCCTGAGCACAGCATACAGCTAGATGTCCAAATCTCACAGTCAGACTACTGCTTGAGTATCCAACAGGGATCTGGTACGGGTAGCATGCAATCTCACAACACTACGCCGATGCAGATCTGATGTTCCATTCAGTTTGGGATTTTTTTAACATACTGGAAACTAGGAAGGCAAACACAGCACACACAGAGGGACTTAGTCTACAGAGCCTTAGATGGGTCAACTGCCTTTTTTGATCCACAGTGCATATGAGGTAGCAGCAGTGCAGACGCAACAAGCAGTTCTTCGCTCTTAGTGTAGACAGGCTCTTAATCCACAGTGACTCATGATTAACCCTTGGCATCCCTTTCCTCAGGCACTATACGGGCCACTCTTGCATTATACTTTTCCAAGGTGAAGACTAGGGCAAGATTTCGAAAGTTAAACAGCCTGCCTGAAATGAAACCACACTGCATTCAGCCAGCAACTAGAAAGCAGCCACTGTTTGCAGCCTGGTTTCTGAGGGATGAAGCACAGGGGGGCAACTCTCCATTGAGTTAGTGCAGCTTTGCTCCATTCACCATCATGAAGCCATCACCAGCACAAAGTATGTCCTTTGTGGCAGAGAGGCTCAACAGCCTTCCTTCCACATTGGGATTGGCAGAAGGGGCACAGCTGGGTGTTACCTGCACCCATGGGCTACAGTTGGCAGATGCTATAAATTAGAGTAGGTCCAGGATCTTGTTGGCAGTGGAGAATGTTTTGCCCTTCAGGTGCAAGAGACCTGAACCTTGTAGGCTGCTTAATCTCCCACATCCCAAGTAACCTAACTGCAGGAGGACATCAATAAAACAGGGCTCACCAGGGCAGGTTCAGCAATGGCATTAGATGCACTCACTTGAGGCCAATCAAGGTTGCAGCTTTCATGTATTAATTAGGCTGTGAAAAGAGCAAGTAAGGCACCATTGGTCCAGACTACTCAACCACTCCTAATTTATTTACTTGGAGGCTTCCAAAGAGCTCCTGTTTTCATTCTTCCATAGGAGCCATGCAACCAGAATGGCCAAGTTGGATCTTGCTCCATACATGACACAACAGCCTGGCAGAGACCACATCTCGGGCATGGTGGATGAAAT